ATCTGATGGAAGGAAAGATGGAGGCGGAGGACCTGCCGAGAGTGTGGAATGAGAAGATGAAGAGCTACCTTGGCCTGGAAACCCTTGGCAACGACAAGGAGGGGTGCCTGCAGGATATTCATTGGGCAGGAGGCATGCTTGGGTACTTCCCGACGTACTCGCTGGGGGCAATGGTGGCGGCGCAGCTGATGAGCTCGATCCGGAAGGAGCTTGGCGAGGAGGTTGTGGATGATTGCATCCGCAAGGGTGAGCTTGACAAGCTTCTTGCGAAGCAGAACGAGAAGATTTGGCGGCACGGCTCGTCGCTGACGACGGAAGAGCTGCTCAAGCAGGCCACCGGGGAGGCCCTGAACCCCGAACACTACCGCAAGCACCTGGAGCGCCGCTACCGTGACGACAAAGGATAGCGTGATGTTTTTGGTTTATTTTTGAAATCGTTTTTTTTTGTTTGTTTCTTTGATGTTTTTTTTATGGAGGTAGGTCTTGTTCTTATTTTATTCTTCTAGGAGTATGGGTGTGAGGTCTGGAATCAACGTCGGAAGAGAATGATAAAGCGCTATTGGGGAACTCTTTTTTTTTTTCTTTTTCTTTTTTTGACTGCTGTGTCGTATGTGTGGTGTGTTGTCGTGGGTGCCTCTTGTTGTATCCTTGTGCCTATTTTTCCTCTTTGTTGTTTTACTTCACTTTATCTGTGGTGACGTGTGTGAGACCTTGCTTTTGGCGGCAACGCGGAAAAAATATATACCTTTATATATATATTTATACTACTTGTGTGTGTGAGAGAGGGCGAGAGGGAGAGTGAGTCTGAAGAGAGCCGCCTTGTAGCGTAGGGAGGGGAGATCAGTTGGAAGTAGTAGAGCGGGGACAAGCAAGCGAGTACCGAGGTGCGCAGAGGCAAAACGGTAGCTGTGGAGCGGGATGCCGCCGGCTGCCAGGGCAGAGGAAGGCCGCATCACTGTTTGTGTCCGGGCTCGTCCCCTCAGTGAGCGCGAAAAACGCTTGAATTCGCCGTCGTGTCTTCTATTTCATGAGGGGAAAGTGGTGCGGATTTTCAAGACGGGCTGTCCTGGAGATGGCGCGGGGGGAATAAATGAGGCTGACGCGGCGAAAGTCTTTGCTTTTGATCATGCCTACGACTCTGACGTGACACAGGCCTCCGTGTACGAGGACCTGGGACTGCCTGTGCTGGCCTCTAGTTTTAAGGGGTTTAACACCTGCATCTTTGCCTATGGCCAGACGGGAAGCGGGAAGAGTTACTCGATGATGGGCCCCTCGGGTGGCAGGGACGTGTTTGTGGACCCGGGTATTATTCCTCGTTTGTCAAAAGGGCTCTTTGCCATTGTGCAGGAACGACAGGCCAAGAATCAGAACGATCGTGAGGCGGCGCGTGCGAATGCGGTGGAAGAGCACGCCCTCCCACCTGAGCTAAATACAATAGTTCTAGTGAGTTACCTGGAAATCTATCAAGAGCGGGTGAATTGTTTACTGAACAGCAAACTTGAGAATCTCAAGGTTCGTGAGCACCCGGTGCTTGGCGTCTACGTGGAGGGGCTTAGCGAGGTGAAGGTGTCTTCGGAGGAGGAAATGATGCAGGTGATGGAGAGAGGCAACCAGGACCGCCACACAGCCGCGACGAAGATGAATGATCGTTCCAGCCGATCCCATGCCATCTTCGCCATCTCACTCATTCAAGAGAGAAAGAGCCTCACAAAGGACGGTAAGAGCACCTCAACAGTGCTTCGAGCCAAAATTAGCCTTGTGGACCTTGCGGGCAGTGAGCGGGCAAAGTCGACCGGGGCGGAAGGAGACACACTCCGCGAAGGGGCCAACATCAACCGGTCTCTCACAGTTCTGGGCCAGGTGATCAATGCTCTGGCACAGGTCAGCAAACAAAAATCGGACGCGGCAGGCTCTAGGCATGTCCCATACCGAGATTCAACACTGACTTTTATTTTAAAGGAGTCCCTTGGAGGCAACAGTAAAACGTTCATGTTGTCGACGCTCAGCCCTGCGGCAGCAAACTACGAGGAAACGCTAAGTACGCTGCGATACGCTGATCGCGCCAAAGCCATTGTGACACGAGCCATCATCAATGAATCGCCAGGAGACAAGAAAATACGTGAATTACAAGAGGAGGTGCGTGTGTTGCGAGAGAAGATGCAGCACTATGAGGAACTGGTTGCACATGGGGGTGTCGTGAGTAGCTTTCCCGTCTGTGGTTCTCAAGGGGCCACGAATAATACCGATAAAAATGGGGAATCAACAGCCATTGTGGAAGATGACATGATCTATGCCCACGCTAAGACGCCGAGGCAAGCGGGGGATGCGGCGGCGCTAGAGCGAGAATTACGCCGTTCGGAGACGTTAATTCAACACCTTGTGGCTAACAAAGGTATCTCACTAGAGGCGTCTACGCCGCTTACTGCGTATCCGTTTATCCCCACAATTAGAGTCAATCGGAATGATCCGTTTCTCCTTAATATGGATGGAGTTGGGGATTGGGTGGTGGAGTACCTTTTCGCGGGCACAACGTACTTGGGAAGCGAAGCATCTGCGACGGAAAACAATACCCGTTGCATTGTGATCAGTGGGGAGCAAACAGCCGGTATCGCCCCTCGGCATTGTTGTTTTGTCAGGCAAGAGAGTGGTGATGTGCTGCTTCGACCGCTGGACGACAACCTGACCTACATTGACGATGATCCGGACCCCGTCGACGAAGATACTCCGCTGAAAAGTGGCACCGTCGTCTGCCTGGGCGACGAATATGTGCAGTTTAAGTTTATTGACCCCAGCGCACCACAACCGATGGCGCGGCGGCGCAATGTGAGAAGCACGGAACCTTCCTCCATCAATGCCTCTGGCCTCAACGCCAAGTCGTCACCTCTATTTCCCAGTCAAGGCCTGAAGTCATCTCCAATGGCTGCCGGTGCCGGTGGTGGCATGGTTGGCTATCCGAATGTGCCGGCCTTACGACTGAAGGAAGCGCTGCAGCGCGGCCAAGCGCACGGCACACGGGTGACAAACGTGCACCGCGACCCAATGACGCCAACAGGGCGTTGCATGGCTACACCAGGCGCTGTTTCTATGGTGGGCATCACTCCACGGACGACACGGACAACCGGCAGGGTCGTTATTTCCCCCAGTGATGAACTCACTGTTATGTACCGGCATACATTTCTTTTTATTGGTGCCAGCAATTCAGGAAAGAGTGCCTTTCGTGAAAATTTGCAAAAACCCGACAGGTGGTACTCAATGTTTGCAAACGATAAACTGCACGTACGACCAACCTTTGGTGTGGACTCCTCTTTGATTGAGACAGCCGCAGGAAAACAGAGTGTGCAGATGAACCTGATGGAGTTGAGTGGCAATGGATGTTTCTCCTTCTTTGAGGGACTTTTACCAACGCGGCGTGTGACCTATGTCTTGTGTTTCTCGCTTCAGGAGATGCCATCACTGGAGACGCTGCAGCCCATACTGGAGTTTATTCTCTGTCGAACCTCTAGTAGGGATGCAACCGTGGTTCTCATTGGGACTTACCTTGACAAGTTTCGTCTCGACGAGGCTGAGTTGTCCCAGTTATTTGCCACCATAGAGGCGGAGATAAATAACTATTTTCGTCTTGTGCAGGCCATTCCGGAGAAGCGTCCCTCTGTAGTGGGACGCTTTGCGGTGGACAACATTGCCCGTGTGGTGGTTTCCCCGGGATTTGCCAAAATGAGGAGGTTCCCTGAGCTGTTGTGCTGGTTCGGTGAACAGGCTCTGCAGCGGTGCCGCAATGATGCCGAATTCCCTAATGCTGAGGTGCCCTTGCGGGCGCTGGCGCTGTCGAAAAAGATTCGTGAGCTGGCTCGTGAGGGGCAATGGTATCTCACCTCCGCAAGCTATAAAGCAATTGCCAAGGCTGTGGATACCCGCTATGGTTTAAGCAGGGATGACTTGCATCGCCACACCCAGCTTCTGGTGAGTTGGGGCGTCTTACATCATTACTTCAGGCACCTTACGATGAAGAAGTACGTGATGGTGGATGTGAAATGGGTGTTTCGTGTGGTGGCCGTATTGTCCTCCTGTGCACCCTCACTTGGTTTTGGTATTGAGCCTAGTACCTCGTGGAAGCCTCTGCCGTTGATAAAATGCCAAAGTTTGATGGAAAAAATGCAAGATGTACTGCCTTTCGACGTTGCCGCTGTCCTTGCCTCGGACGTCTACTCGGTGCTTGACCGCGGTGTTTTGTCAATTAAGACAGCCATGCTGCTTTTTCGCGGGGTTATGGCAGATAAGGGCTTTGATTTCTGCTCCCTCACTGGCCTCTTGGAGGTGCTGCGCAGCTACGACTTTGTCATCATGGGAAGCCGCCTGAAGTTTTCATCCTTCATGGGTGACCTGGCGGAGGATACGTCACTTGGGAGGCGTGACGCTGCTCTGACGACGGGGACAGATCACGTTGCGAGCACTGCCCTGGGACGCACCGCCGCGGACGACGAAGCGGTGGAGGAGGAAGAGGAAGAGGAAGCGACAACGCCGGCGGCGTCCAGTTCATCGGTGGAGATGTTTCTCCTTATTCCTGCTTGCTTCAATTCGCAACCCCCGTCGGCGTTCAATGTGCATTTGCCATCCTTTCTGTTCGGCCCTTTTTACCGCTTCACGCTCAACATTGTGCCACGCAACTTCTTCTCGTGCGTCATGAGTCGTGTGGCGCACCTTGCAGAAAAAATATACCTCGGCCCCGTCAGCGCCCGCCAGGTGCCGGTGGAGGACCTCGTGGGTGGGGAGTGCGACGGCATTACAATCACCGGCAGCATCCACAACAGCTTCTTAGACCACGACGCCCGCAAGAGTGAGGCGAGCGGCGTGGGAGAAGGTACAACTGGCAAATCAACAGGCATGACGTCGATGGTGGACAAGAGTCACTTTTGGGAGTCCACGGCGTGGGTAATAAGCTCGGCTAGAAGCCGCGCGCTCATTCGTATGGTGCAACACTCTCTCCTCATCACATTCCACGACCTTGACGACGACGAGGGGTTTTACAATGGCCTGCTCCACGTTGTGCGCAACCTCGTCTATGAGAGTCCTGGTGTACAGTGCGAGGAGAGCATCCTGTGCTCGCTGGATTTCATGGATGAGGGGGAGAAAGCGAGCGAGGTTCACGGCGACAGGGTCTACTGGCGGGGCGTCGACGAAAACCTCAACTCATTGGAGAAGATCCGACAGCGCGAGCAGTTTGCGCTCATGACGGCGCGTGGCACGACGTCCCGGATGCGCCGTGGCGCTGGTCGCTTGCGAAACACCGCCGACGACACGATGAACAACGAGGATGGCGCCATGCTGATACCGTTTGTGCGAAACCGCACGGAACTCATTGACGTGGAGGCGTCAGTGTGCCGCGTCTGCGAAGACTCCCTCTTGACAAACGAAGTGCTGCGTGGGGTGAGTGAGGCGCTGCACGCGATGAACAACGCACAGCGTCGCGGCAGCGGCGCGGGGCAGTGCAGGGCGATGGACCGCCTTGTAGACGTACTTGCGCAGGCGTAGCAAAAAAAAAGTACAAAAAAATAAAGGCGTGTTGCGGAACACTAATAAATAAGAAAAAAAAAACGAATGAGGCTTATAAGATAAAAAAAAAAGGAGAGAGAAAGGGGGAAATCTTTGTGTTCGTGTGTTTGCCTTCTGGGTGTTGTTGTGAAGTAGGTGAGTGAGTGTCGTGTGCGGCGTTGCGAGGTTCGCATGCGCGGCGGGAGACGCCAGCCAGAGGTCTACCCAACCAAGATGCTTTTCTTCAATCAACAGGAGCACGCCCCTTCTCGAGTTCCTTCTTGCTTTACTTGTTCGTTTCCGGAGTCTTTGTTCCCCTTCG